CAGCAATCACTCTTATTTGAGCACTTTTATGTGAAATGCTTATGTTACAGCGGAACGAGGAAATATGTCGTTTCGACTGTCATTGCTGTTGGGGGGGGTCGACAGAAATGTAACCGAAAGTGAGAGCTTCCAGTGTCATGCCCGAAAGTAAAAGACAGTGAAAGATAGATTTTTTTTTTCAAGGAGATGACAGCATTCGTGTCGTACGACTTGCAGAAACCCTTATTCGCATGCGGTCAGCAAGCATAAAGCAGTTCGTTCGCGGCTTAAATAACTCCACTTTTGCGAATTGAAGCTTGGTAAGAGCGCCACGGCATAGCAACGATTACTTAGCTCCGCCTTCGTGAGCTGGATCCACCTCTTCGGTTTACCATTGCTTTATAAGGGGTGGATCCATATCATCTGTACATTCTTTAGCCATACCATCTTCTGCTTGTCTTTTCCAGCTCAGTCTCTGACCGTTGCTCACAATATCCAACAGGATTCTTATTTAGGGTTTTTTTCGAAGGCTTTGTTCCCTCTTTTGCTAATCACTCACTGACCACATGATCTAGTGATTCGCAATCCCAAACCTGCAAATGGCGATCCGTCCCTTTAAGTCTATCAGACTAGAATCCTGAAGCAAAGGTATTGTTCCATATCTCGCAAGCGCGATCACTCGTCAAGGAGATATCATGTTCATCATAAAATCATGGCCTAGATGCTACCGTATCGTCGGGCAGTCCTGTGAAAGCGGACGGCTATCCACGGATCGGAATCACTCGCGGCAGAAGTGTGAGCGCCATTGGGAATATTTCCTCCAACTGCTTCTTTCTATCAAATGGGCAGAATTCTGAGTGGAAATCTGGTCTGTCTGGGATCAGGGGAAAACGAACCAGTCTTTGTCCTGTGTAGCAGTTTTTCTACCCATGTCTGTTTCTTTGTCGAGTTCGGTGAGGTGGACCAAGTCAGGTCCTTAACTTTATGCCGAAATTCGAAAGTATCAGGGTACTTTGAATCAAACTTTTTTTGATGCTCTCCGCTAAACACTACTGCGTTCCATAAATAACGGTGCTTTTTATGTTTTAAGTCGATAAGCTGCTGAAAGAGCTCTCTTGCAATTGCTTAGATCCTTGGAAAATTTATCCTCCCGGAAGTGGTCCAAATGGGGAATGCTTAGGAGTGATGCAGATGTAATGAGCTGGGTGACCTATGAATTTGGGCGCTAATTTTCTTAGCGGGGGGGGGGCTAGTTTCTTTCACAAGCTCCTGTTGAACAACACGTCTCACCTTGGTGAAACCTGTAGACTCTTGTCAAAAGGAAACAAAGCTCCTGCTATAGCATAGCTTTACAGGAAAGTAACAGGTCCCCATAGAAGCTATCAGTAGTGATCGATGGAAACCACCAAAATGCTCCCCCAAGCCGAACTTTGTGACCCAGTCTTATTTTATTCTCTAAAAATCTTTATACTTATTCCTAGTCCATCTCTACGGAACACTTAATCTTTGTTCCAAGTAAAGTTTATTTTACAGTATAACACTGAAAAGAGAAGAGGCGAATTCACTGTGGTCAGCTAAACGTTTGATATCAGTGACGTAACATGACTTTTAAAATCAAGAGTTCTGTTTTCGCAATAATGCTGAGTTATGGGCAAAAGTCAGACCTCAGTGGGATTCGCCTTTCCCGTTGACCGGGCGAGTGGATTTCGTTATTTTCCGGGTAATTTCCCATCAACCTTATATGTGTCGCTCAATGGAATTACTCCACGCTGTCAGAAATGCCATCCTGTAAAAAAGGGCAACTTTTGTTAGTGACCTTTTCACTTTTCCCTTCCTGTTGTAATCAATCTTAGCACCGGTCTACGATTTTATGGAACGTCTCAAAGACGTATCATGTTCCATGCTGATATGGATATATTTTTCTAAAAAGTGAAAGTGTAGCGGTGTTTTGGTGGGGCCATAAAAAGTGCTCAGGCTTGACTCTATCGCAGCATGACTGGTTGCCAAGTTTTTCTGACACGGTCGGTGTGAAAATCGTTGTAGAACGAATTTGTGTCAGGGTAAATCATAACCTTGCTTAGATTTATTTTGAATTTTCTGCAAAATACAACCCCCCTAACTTGGTTAGCTCTCAGTGAATAGTTGAAGTTTCTAGTTTCTAGTACCCCTACTATATGTGATTTACTAAGTCCGCTTATTTGTTTATCGTTTGTCCGGAAATTCGCTTCTACCTAAAGAGCAGCTTGAAGAGGTTGGGATTTGTAGGGCATGGGACAAGATGTGCAGAGCTCACGTGACCTATGGTAAGCCCCCCCCCCATAAAGGGCGGGGCATGCACTGAATTGCATGGGGACAAAAATCACAGATTGGTTCCGTAACAGTCAAGAGATGGGGGAATTGGATTAAGCTCAGGAAAGGGTTTACAGACTAAATGGTATAAATACTATTGAAATGGTGCTGGCCGCAAAATCCCATAACTCGGCTTTCGCATGAATCTGGGGAACTTTTCATCTATGGTGACTTTTCTTTGTCAGTGCTGGATGTTTTACCATCTATCCTCTATATAAAAGTATAATCTAGTCGTCTATAATCTCTTGATATTTTTATTAATTAGTTCTTTTAGCGTATGCTCAATGTGTTATATATTTATTTTATGTTTTAGTCGATGGTGGCGCTTCTTCGCGCAATGGGCACGTTAAGAATCGACTTCAAATCGCCGAGTCGTATCGACGATGCGCAGCAGTTCTTCAATATCAGCCAAACTTGTGACGAGGTATCATCTTTCCAGTATTTGGTGATTTTCGTGCAGTTATTTTACGAGGGATCCAAAAGGCTTTAAAGTGGAGTCATCTTGGGACGGAGAGGCCTGGTGGTGTATACGTTGTGTTTTGTTCAACACATTTGATCGTTTTATTTTTAGTACCTGAAAGCAGGTTTTCTTTTTTGCTTTTCTTCCCATTAGACTCGTTTGTCATCGCGGGGTCTCCTGACTTTTCATTATTTTCTGATGAATCCGTGGAGCCTTTACAACTGCAACAGTCCAGTGTGTTGTGTGTTCAGGGCGAGCTTCCACCTGATCTGGCAAGTGTTATGAAACGATTGTGGGCTGACGGAGGAATCCAAGAATGCTTCCTGAGGTCGGGCACACTTGGTTATGCTGTATAGATTCTGCACTGTTTTCACCTCTTCATTTCACCTTTTTCACTTATATTATTTTTTTGTGATATTGTGGTCCAGAATTGAGGAAGGCTTCACCCTAGTTCTGTGCTGGTAATTGCTCATCGCCGTGGTTCCCGAAAGTTTTTCAAGAATGCTGAGTTATGAGCAAAAGATTTCACCTGAGACAGAATTCGAACCTGGATCTGCCGTATAATATGATAACTCTCAGGATTTGTTCAAGTTTTATGACAAGGCACAGACCAAGGCACAGCACCTCTCATGAAAAACACAACGGAGGGGGTCGAATTTCGGCCGCTTGGGATGGGGAAAAAACTACTTTGACAGCTGATTTTCCGTTTTAGGCACTCATTCTTGCCGGACTCGATAGGGGGGGGTCTTATATGGTTCGGAAGAGGGGATCACGCAAGTGTTTCATAGCCCTGCCTGGAGCGTATTTTTCACCCCGATCGGAGTAAAGTTTTGGGAAGACCCTAAAAGAGATGGTACAAAAGGAGGAAACTCCAAGGGGAGGGGGAGGCTATTTATTATTTCAAGGGAGACGGACAAGACAATCGTAAGTGATTGTGTCGCCGGGCGCGGCATTTCGTGCGGCCATGTGCGCAAGTTCTCTATGTGCATCGAGTTGTCGATTGTAGCAGCGAATACGTATGAATTTAAGAAGGGACAAAACTCTGTGACGGAGACATCGAATTTTCCCATCTCTCCGAACTCTCATCCAGATGGCCGGCTGGGACAACTCGTCTATCCGTCGCGCTAAGCTCGCCACGACAAACTGGCGCAGTATACGGTTGTCTGGTCACATACCCTTATTTCAGCTTTTTTTGGGATAGCAACGGCCTACACTAGCTTCCTCCATGAGGACTCCATAGTAAATGAAAGTTGAAGTAGATACTTGTCTGGACGAATCCAAGTGTAATTTAAGTTTTGAATGTTTTAAACCTAGGTATTTCCATTCTTTTAATCGATAGGATGTTCTATCGATAGGATGTTTGATGATCGAAACGTTCTCGTCATAACTGTTATTGAGGGGGATGATCGGAAACGCTTCTGAGAATATATTGTTCTTGTTGTCATACTTCAATTTCTAAGGATTTTAAGCCATAAAACTGTAAGAAACAATCTGGCCATTGTACCTTGTTTTATACTTTCAGATCACCTGCGAGCAATACCCGCGCTTGACGCACTCTGCTCTCCAATATTCACCCTGAACCTGATTAGAACGGATCGCATCAACCCACAATTACATCCCCTACAGCAGGTTCATTTTTATTTTCCTCGTGCGTACGAGATGTTTTTGTACGGCGACTAGTAATTGTCAGGTAACTTTCAAGGGGACCGAATTACTGCGTATCAGATCAAACGCACTGGCTATTAGTCGTAGACCTCACTTTACGTTAAAGACCTGCATTTTTAAGTGAGCAAATATTTGTTTGCTTTCTCCCGGCCTTGTGTTTTCTTTTCCAGATCGAACGCTATACCGTCCTAAGCAATGGGCACAGCTTCGGCTTGTCGGGGACCGGTTGGTAATTAGGGGGGGTGACTGACGTCACCTTGATAAGTCCTGTGTATTCCCGTGATTAGCGTGATTCTCGTATACCGTATTGCTGCCTCGCAGAAGTTTACAAGTCTAACAAGGATAAATTGCTTTAATTAATAGTGGCTAACTTCAACAGGAAGAGACCGTCACCGGACAGTAGTTAACTACTCGGCTCCCAAGCGCAAAACACCGGTCCAATATTTGCATCCTGGCGCTATTGTGGGTAAGTAGGAGATCCAAGCACATCTCACAATTGAAACTCGTGAGCTTTGGGGCTCAAACATGAGTTCATAGCTGCTGGTCGACCTGTCAGCGAAGAGAAGGTTGGGTGAGGTTTTCAAAGACATTCTGAATCAGGCGAGAGTTGGGTGAGTATTGGGAAAGGAAAAAGGGTTGTAAGGGCGAGTGGCTAGAGGTGAAGGATGAGAGTACAGGAAGACAAACTGGAAGACAAACGAGGCGGTGGGGTGGGTCCTACACAGAGTGAACAAAAACGTCATACCGGTGTCTACAAACATAGGGTCACATGGCATTCGTCCCCAGATGGCTGAGGCAGCATCTAGGAGGGCATTCCTCTAGTTGATGACGACCGCAGCTCCCTTTTTACTGTGGAATAGTGAGACAAACTTCGATTACAGGATGCACTGCCTGACCAGGGAAGAGATCCTTCTCAAAGTTACTTCAGGTAGCGGTCAGACTTTGCGATGAAGCGCGTTGACGCGCTGTAATGCGCTACAATGGCAACAGCGCTCCAGTATTATAGACGCGACCACAGCCGCTAACGAGAATCGATCATTACCACCCGCTTGTGTTTTGAAAGAGTATAGGATAGGCGCTGCCTTCACCTCATCTAGTACCCTCCTGTTCTTCCGTACCTCATCTAGTACCCTCCTATTCTTCCGTACTATCCCAATACTAGCGGCTAGTGGATCGATGCGGCTGCGCGACTGAGCAACGCGTGACTTGTTTCCTCCCCCCCCCCCCCCTTCCCCTTCCCCCTCTCTCCCCCTCTCTTAGAAGACGAGCGGCCGGCGCTGTTTGATTTCCGTTTGCGGCTGGGCTCGCATCTATAATATTGGAACCCTGTTGCATTTGTAGCGCGTCGACGAGCGTTACAGCGCGCCGCAGCGCGTCGAAGCGCGTCATCACGAAGTATGAACGCTGCTGATGCAGAACTGACGGGGATAACAATTATGGCATGAACCTAGGTAACGAAGCAACCCTGAATGGAACGACTTTTTAGTGCCAGAAGGTTTTCGCTGTATTATAATGCCAATTTATCCAATGAGTTCTTCCAATGTCCTCCTCCCCGCCCACCTCCCACCTTATTGCAATAGCAATTTTAATATTCTGTCGTTGCCTTCTTCATGTACTATGAGTTCTTCGATTTTTTAGAATGTTTGATGTTGGTGGACAGCGTAGTGAACGGAAAAAGTGGATCCATTGTTTTGAAGGTGTTACTGCTATCATTTTCTGTGTTGCAATGAGTGAATACGATATGGTGTTAGCTGAGGATGACGAAATGGTCAGTCGTTTGTAG